CACCTTGCAAATTAAGATTTCAGAGGTTAAATTGTGAGAAAATATACTTCTCTTTTGGTAGAGGAAGGGGAAATTCTACCTGCAAAATATGTGAGCAATTCTGATTTTATTTCCTGCATTTAAGTGGATACTGCATTTCCCCATGGAATTGGGTTCAGCTTTGGAAAGAACCATGGTCCGTGGTTGTATTCATATTCATTGGTCATAATATTCTGGGCATCATTAAAAATCCCAAGGTAGGTACGCCAGCATTTGGACACAATTTATAAAAACGTCATTAGGGACAAAATAGGGCCAGTCTTTCCAGGTAACTGTCCACACATTCAAAGATGGATGTCTTAATTTGGCATCCAAAAAGCACACAAGAGGTCAGACTGCATGTAGGTAATTTCCTCAGATGCTGTTATTTATCCCCTGAGATCCTACATACTCAATACCAATTAGAGAGGAGAGGATTAAGAATGGGCAGAAAGGGTGAGGGGTGGAACAGCAGGCCTGAGTAATTTGGACTAAGATCTTGTATCAAATTTGCAAATTACCAATTAAAGCAGGTTTAGGAAGTGGCATCATTTTTGCTTATCATGACAAACTGAAAATTAAGGCTCTCTCTGCATGTCAGAGGGATGACAGCAAGGACATATAGCAAAGAATGTTATCAAAAGCATCTTCTTGGTAACAATATATCCTTGGATGCAAGGCAACCTAACTGGAAAGTAAAAGTAGGGCACAAATCTGAAAATAAACCTAAGATCTAGATCTCAAAATAACCACTATTCTGTTGACTCTGGTGAAGTCACCCAAATACCTTGCAAATGAAAACCCAAAAATATTCTTGGTGAGTATGTTTAGAATTGTCATTCGCTGCTACTCTCGGCTAATGGCCACTCGTAAGGTAGCTTTAGTGCTCTCTTTATTTAAAATTAAGATGATAATACAGTCTTGTTGACAAGGATATATCTCCTTTGACAAGTGGCTGCCTGTGGTAGAATATACCCCACTTAGCAAGGGACAAGTGGTCTCAGGGATGGAGCTGCAACTCAAGAAACAGAGTACAGAGAACCCCTAGGGAGAGTCCTATATTGTCTTTGTTTTCCTGCGCTCAATATGGGATCTGTTGACTGGATTCCCTAAATAATGCAAAATACTGCACACCTACCCAGTGTTTACCCACCCCAGTTTTCTTTGAACCTTATTTTTAAAAAATACATGTAGAGTAAGAAATGCCATGCCTTGGCACTTATGTGGAACCTGCTATCCTAACACTTGAACACAAGTCAAAGCTGTTTGCCTGAATACAAAATAATGACAGAAAGGGAGATGGTGGCAGGGAAAACAATCAAACTGGAAAGTATTCACACCAATAAAGTGGCATGTGGCATCATGCCCCATTGAGAACATGGGTTAGGTGGCATTCATTCTGGTTTACTGCCTGCTTAGCCATGAGGAAAACATGGATTAATTACTGTTTGGTATTGTGATGGATTTCTATCATCTACCTACGTGCACAATTGTCTATATTTACAATCTTACATACAAATGGGGAGATAGAAACATAAATCTAATATATATTAGACATATACAAATATGTGAAAGCAAATGAAATAATATAAAACCTAGAGTGAGCCAATTTTCACTTCTGTTGTGACACTGCTTCCTATAAACAAAGAGGTATCCAAACAAGCCATCACTCTCTGTGCCTTAATTTCCTAATTTGTTACATGAGATTAATTCCTGTCCCATCTAGAGAGGGAAACAAATGAAGTGATCCACAGAAAACTGCTTTGAAAAGTACAGAGTGCTATACAAATGCTAGGGATAATGAGATGTTTTACAAAAGAGCATTATTCCTCTGCTAAGAAGTGTACATCCACATTCACGTTTTCTATCTGTGAAGGTTCTTCTTTGAAATTAAATTGAGACCATAACTAACATCCCTCCTAGTGCTGCCTGAGGTTTTACTCAGCAACAAAGCAAGGGCTTCTTTTCATCATTCATCACGTTTGAGTTCAAGCACCAAGAGGTACTTTTTACCAGTGGTGAAAATAGCTTTCTTTTCACAGCAGAAACACAGAAAATGATCTCTCTCTTCATGCTAATGGAAAGATAAGGCTTATTCTACTGTTGCCACTAAAAATGCCTTGATTTGGCTTTCTTGATGGTGTCTTTGCACCAGGAAGATGAGAATGGTGGGTGAGAGAGCATGAAGAGTGGCCTTATTTATGCGTGTGGATAATCAAATACTGAGATACGTTTTCAAGTGAGGATTTTGTTCCATTTTTCTTTCAGCTTTCAGTGCCAACTGGATATTCCCTTCTCAAAAAATGAGATAAAACCCTTTATACACTCAATCAACTTGAATCACACACATTTAATGCCTTTTTTTTTGGCACTATTGGGGATGGAGCCTAGGACCTTATTCATGCTAGGCAGGCACTGTACCACTGAGCCACACTCCCAGCCCACCAGCTCCTGTCAATAAACCGGACTCCAAACTTCCTTTCTAGTACTTTCTCCTGCTCACTTCTGCAAAACCAGTGTCCAGTTTTGCTGGATTCACTACTCCTGTTTTGAGGCATTTGTGCTTTCAACCTAAGTGGCCCTTTTCCTCCCTCCCTCCTTCCTCTAGAGCCCTCCTGCTTCTCCCATCTTGAATCTTCCGTCTTGGCCCACTACAATCTTGCCCAACTTTCAAGGCACTTGTCAAAGTGCCAATAATTCCATGCAGCTTTCTTCAATACCCCTAACCAATTATAATCTTTCTAAATGAATTTTTATTTCTGATTTAAGGCACACAGGAACAATTTATGTCTCTGTTAGCACACAAATCATGTTATGTAGTGGGTATCTTCCTCACACCAACAAAAAATAAAAACTCAAGTGAAGAATGGCCTTGTTATTTTATTACTTGATTTTTTATTATGGAAATTTTATTATGGAAAATTTCTAACATATACAAAATAAACAGAAGGCTCTGTTTATTTTTGCATCTCCTTTGGGATCTATCACAGTGTTTTGCATGTTGCAGAAGTAAATTTAAGTAATTAAGGCCTTAGGCAAATGGAGCTGTCTGCGTATCTGATTCCCTGTCTCCTAGATGGTTAAGCTTTTGCTTAGTAACACACACCAACACACAAAACCTATATACCTGTAGGATCTTAATCCACGCAAGGTAAACCTACTCACTGGCTTAAAATTCAGTGTTTTAACAATGCAGTTTGCTCAGATAGTAAAGCTAAGTATATTTGAGAGAATGAAGAGAAAAACTCATATACTTAATGTTTTCTAAGAAAATTCAAGCCTGATTATTTATCTGGGTGGTTTTCCTAATAACGCTCATTTCTTATAAAGGTGAAATATTTGATGGATAACCTACAAATCTGAAAGCTTTCTATTCATTTCAGACTTATGGGTTTTTTTTTAAACTTTGCACTACTGGCTAATACAAATATTTTGAAATACCTTCCCATTTCCCAAACCTCAACCTTTTAAGAACACTATTTCAGGTTATTTTTAAACTTGTGCCTACTTAGCGTACTCATTTTTGCTATTCTTGTGTGTGTGTGTGTGCATGTGTGTGTGTGTGTGTGTGCATGTGTGTCCAGGAACAGTGAAATCCTTAAAGTGAACCAGGATTCTGGAGTGATAGATTACATGTCCATGCTGTGTCATATCCAATTAACTCAAACTGACTGTACACTGCATTATTCTGTTAGTGCATGGGAGATCAATAAATATGGGGAAAATCCACCCCAGCTCTTCACTTTCCCATCCGATTCTAGTAGGTCTGAGACGGATCATGCCACTGTGATGTGTACGCCATGGCGAAGGCAGGCAGGTGGTGCATAGACACCATTCAAACTTGGCCTATTCAATCCCAACTCCTCTAACGCTCCATTCATGCATAGCAAAACACCATCTGGTCCTATTTTGCCTCCAGCAATCACAGCTGACCAAAAACGATAATAACAGCTGTTGCAAAACAAAAGCCAAACAAAGGGGGTGGGGGGGTGGGGAAAGGTTAGATTGAAGTCCAGTGCTGAAAAATGCTCCATGAAGTGAGAAATGGGAAAGAAACCATTCAGATGTCTAAAGGCCACTGAATGGACACAGCAGAAGACTCCTACTTAAACTTGAGATATTAATCCATCTGTCTAGAAAGCCTTCAAACCTCCATCAGGTGGTAATATATTGCAGAAATTATGCTGCATGAAGGCATTTGAGCTTTTGTTCTTCGAGTCGGGAACTAATGATCCTGTGTCAGCTAAAAATGAAAATCGTTGTGTTCTTTCATCCTACAGCAGTACAGGTTAATAAAAAAAAAAAGTGTTTAGCCAGAGCAATAAAATAATGTTCCCACAGCAGGGGAAGACACAAGGTGTGTGTGTGTGATGGGGAGGGGCTCATTAATGTCTATATACTATTTAAGAGGTCTATACCATTCAGATATATTTCTCATGCCTATTTTTCATTCCCCTGACTTATTTGACCTGCAACAACAAAAATAAGCACCAAGGACTTATTAAGTCTCCAGAATAGAAACCAGTCACATGTATAACTTAAAATACAAGCTGATTCATAATTTTCTTTTGTGAATCCTGAGAAAAATGATTTGGTAACAAGGTTGGGGGATTCTTTTCACAATTCAAGCCTTCTGACATTTAACCACATAAATTTTTCCCGGTAATTAATTTTTTAAACCGTCATAATTAAACTACCTTTTTTTCCCCTTGCAATTGACCGTCAGCAGCTTAGCAACATTTAATCAAATGTGATAAAACCTAAAATTTTATAAAATCATTTAATAGATGTTACAACACCTGCCTCTAACTGCAAACAGTTGAAAACAGACTTCACTTGCAATTAAGTCTTATCACTAGTGACATTTTTTTTCCAAGCAATACTTCATGGGTTTTCAAAATGACAATTACAGAACTAATACACAATTACTGTCACATGTAGTTTAGCAATTAATTTTGAAGACATTTGTCTAAAGGTTTCACAACAGAATATAAAATGGTTCTTATTGTTATGTAATGTTAGTTTCAATTCACAGAAAATCTTTTGCCATCAGCTTTGCCTCTGATGGGTCTGATGGGAGCTGAGCATTTCTTTGTGAAATACAATCGCCCCTTGTAGCTGTGATTAGGCATCTTTCTAAGACTGTATGAACACTGATACCTGTCAACTAATACATCTTATGAAAAGCTTCAATTTAGACATAAATTTTTCTACAGCAAGAAATCCATAAATTTATAATTAGAATCTCTTGCTGTTCAATATTTGTACATAATACAGAGTATGAGAGGATTATAAAATATTGAAAGCTGAATTTATTATTCATAACCCACAACATACAGTAAATATTCTTTGAAATACGACAACTTGGAGGAATCCATATTCTATTATTTTTGAACGTCTTGCACACTAGCTACAGACAGCATCACGCACACCCTCATTCCTTCCAGATTAGGATTCTGGTCAGGGTTGACACTTGCTGTTTTTAATTTTCATTTTATCATAAGCAGTTTAAGACTGTTGCCAGTGGTAATTTGCAATTTTTATCAAGACCTCTTCATTATAGCTTCTGACAGGACAGATGCTGTAATTAATCATGCAAGACAACTGGGGATAGTGGTCACATAGCTCTCAAAGAGAAGCCACTATAGAGCAAAAAAAAAGGGGGGGGGGAAATGGGCACTGAAATAATTATTTTGGATTTAAAATTAGCATTCACCATCCATTTTAATAGCAATAACAAACAGCACAATGCCAGGTAGTTCTAGACCCAAATAGAAGATGATTACTTTTTTACTATATATTTACCTCCTTCTTGCAGCTTGACAAAAAGACAATTAAAAAAATATTTCCCATATATACTTAAGGGCCTGGTTCTCAGATGTGTAATCCACATGCTTAGCCACAAATACTGAGTCTCCCAGTGAAAATGGAAGCTGATGCCGGTACCTGCCATATTTCCCCATGTTACAGGTATTCAAGGAACCAAAAGTGAAATTTGACATATCATTTTATTTGAAAAGTGAACAGTTTCCTTGTTGTTGCATCAAAATACAGACCACAGTTTTTACTGAAATGTGTTTATTCTATAGCAAGATAAAAGCATTTTTGTTTTAGTTAAGCAAAATACAAACAACTTAATTGCTGCTATCGTAACTCATAAAAAAGTATAAAACAGCATAAAAACACAATAAGCAACATAGCAATGAATGGTTTATGTCACCAGTGTTTACGTTAAAGCCTCATTTAGGAAAACTTTACAACACATGATATGAAAACTTACAACTTTGAAAGAAAATATTTACATTGATTATTCAGGTGTAGTGTGCCTTTTAAATATTCTACTGGTATTACATCATAATAAAAACTCTTGCTTTTTCTTTTTAAATCTCAACTTTCGTAATAACTGTTTTCATTTAAGTGCATATCCCTTTTAAAAATACAGTGTTTTTATTTCTCGAAACTTGTCACTCAAAACACGGAATATAGTATTCACATTTCTTGTCTTCTAATTGGAATGAATATAATGGGCTAACAGGGGTCAATAGATATTGTTACAACATATACTGTGGTTTGATTTGGAGAAATCATGGATAAAAAGTGGAAATGAGTCAATAATTGAATCTAATCACTTGCTTTTTTCTGGAGAGATTTACGAAAAAAATAAGAGCTTTGGCAAAAGTCTGTGATTTACAATATTTTTTCATGACAAAAAAAATGCCATCAACTATTCACATCATACAAATGCTTGTATGAAACTGGATCTTCATATTTCAGGTAGTTACAACTGTGCTTTTTATTTTTTAGTGGTCTGAAAGTCCAAATAGCCTGGAAGTGTGGTTTATTCACTTCTGAAGAAATAAGGCCATTTTCTATGATTCAGAGAGGCCAGTTTATAGTCATCAATATGTCCCAGGAGTCATTAAACAGTTTGATTCACATATTGTAGGTATAGCCTGAATAAATAAAAAAGGCATCACATAAAAGAGCACAGCTTTTCTCGTTTAAAAACAAAGCGATTTATAGTCAGCTAAAAGATGTTACCCAGCTACACGGTAGTTCTTATTGCCTATCTAATAGACACTTGAGAGGACCATTTGATCTGTTACACATTTCTGCATAACCAACACCAACTTACAAGGTTCATCCCCGAACTCTGTCCCCTCCATATGCCACTCTCCTTGGTGCGTGCAAATCCACCTGCCACACACGTCTTCAGAAAATACTGACCTGTGATAACACTTGAGTCTGTGTCTGAGACTGGATCTGTGATTGGTGCTGCTGGGAGGTGGGCTGGGGACTCCCAATGGTGGGGATGGGGGATGTGATCTGGGAAGTGGCGGGCGAGTGCTGCCGGGGAGAAGGCTGCGACGGGTGCTGCATGTGCTGCAGTTGTTGCAGCTGGATGTGTTGCTGCAGCTGTTGCTGCAGCTGTTGCTGCTGCAGGTGCTGCTGCATGTGGTGCTGAAAATGCTGTTGCTGCATCTGCTGCTGGATTTGCTGATGCATTTGGTGCTGCTGGAGTTGCTGCTGCTGCATCTGCTGCATTTGTTGCTGCTGCTGCTGTTGCTGCTGCTGTTGCTGCTGCTGTTGCTGCAGCTGCATGTGATGCTGCTGGCTTTGCACTGAAGGGCTCACCTGAGTGGAGGCTGTCGAGCCCACCATGGTGGTTCCCATGGAGCTGATCAGCGGAGCCCCAATGTTCGAGGGCATGTTGGCTGCTATGGTGACAGATGTGACGATCTGGTTCATGGGGAGTCTCATGGTTAAGGGTTTGGGAGCAATTGACCTAGGGAGGGACTGAGGGAGAGTCTGAGGTGAGGCTGGTACTGTTCCATGTTGAGACAGTGGAGTGTTGAGAAGGAGGGAGGATGTCAGATTGGTTGACGCCAGAGTTTGCTGAACAGAACGAATGGTCTGGGCTTCTGCTGACTCAGCGGCAGCCTGCGTGTGGAGGGAGAAAATTCCAGCATGTTACAGTACACAAGTATTTAGAAGATCTAAGTACTCTACATTATTATACATTGGCTTAAAAACACAGCCATCATTATTCATGCCACCTCATTTCAATCCATATAGTCATGTGCCCAGTTGGTTCCTCCCAGAGGAGATAGAGTCAAATTCCCTACTCCTTCTGAGTCTGATCTGGCCTGGTGCCTTTGCTTTGGCCATGGGCATGGAGTAAAAGTGACACTGTCCCAGTTCCAAACTGAGGCCTCAAGAGACCTTGCACCCTTCTGCTCCTTGTCCTGGAGCCTACTGCCACCATGTGCATATGTACAGATGCATGGACCAAAAGCCTCACTCAAGTTCCAGCAGCCACATCCAGGCATGAGTCCAGCCACCACCCCAACAACCTACAAGCTGACCCGAGACAGAAGATCAGGATGGGATCTGAAGTTATGTGTAAACCACTGGGCTTTGTGGCTGGCTGTTACATAGCACTATGGGGCAAGAGATAACTGATACACACATTTAGCAGTAATAATTATTCAGCATTTATGTCCATATCAACCTCATCACAGAGATGCCATATACTGTATTGAAAGTGTAACTGACTGCCTGAGTTAAAATTCAGCCCTACTACTTTTTTTTTTTTTTTTTTTTTTTGGTACCGGGGATTGAACTTGGGTCCTTCTGCTTGCGAGGCAGGCACCGGAACCACTGAGCCAAATCCCTGGCTACTACTATTTTTTTTTTTTTAAGTAATGTTAGGGATTGAACCCAAGGCGTCCTGCATGCTACAAGTGCTCTAGCACTGAGCTATGCCCCCAACCCAAGCTCTGCCACTTAACAACTCTGACTTTGGGCAGTTAATTGTCCCATCTATTCCTCAGTTTCCTTATCTATCACAAGGGAGTTATATGGCATGGACCTTGTGCAGTGGTTATGAGAATTAAATTAACTCATATGTTAAGCATTTAGAACAGTGCCTGACCCTCTGGAAGCGCTTAGTAAATGTTAGTTATTTTCGTAATTCACAACTACAGCCACATGAAAACTACCCCTACTAGAAAACTTCAAAATCTCATTTTGCATAATTATTTATAACAGTGCTTCCTTGAATACAAGCAAAACATAATTGGATTCCTCAGAGAGACTAAACTGAACTACTATACTTTACAACTTTATAAAGCTTTAGGTTTACCAATTATTTTTGAAGATCTCCAGAATTTATCAAAGGGATCACAGATAAAGGGAGAAATGTTCAACCCCCATGGGACTGAATAACCTATTATACAATACAGAACAGATCTCAGGCTCCACATGGAGAGAAGCTACTTGTTCCATTTTGTGCTAAAAACACATAATTACTTCTCCCAAAATAAATTCTTTTACCAACGCAACAGTGATTGGAATACTTTTTCTTAATGTCTATTTTTTTCCTCTTATATTTCACAAAATGGAGGTTTTCAAAAAGGGAAGTAGTGGGGACCATCTTAGAAGCATCAAAAAGCCATCCACTATCACGAATGGCCTGAAGTGTTTACTTCGAGACTTTTGTGACTCAGGTTCACAAAATCCTGCTGTTGGAAAAGACCTGAGAAATGATCTTCTATATGGAGTCACCCGATTTAGACAAATCCATCTCTGGTGGCTTCTACTTAAACACATGTCATTGGAAAGCACCATTCGGCCAGGGATAGCTCTCTTCATTCCAAAAGCCCAGTGTGACTATACACAGGGTCCTACTCTATAAAGTCTTAGGGTAAGAAGATGGCTGTAATTACCCAAAAATTACCTTCAAAAGACCATTAGATGACTCACAAAGTAAAACACACACAGTTTTGCACATATAAATATAAACATAACTTTATATACGCTAATTTAAAAAAAAAATCACTGAGCCAGTCTTAGGAAGAACCACAAGGCAAGTCTGTTTTTGGGCCCCAAGGTAATGGTATCATTATACCTGCAAGGGGGCCACCTGAATTGTGAATGGAGATGGGCAGGTGACGGTGGAGTTCCTCCAACCTACCAGATTGACTCCCTTATGCCTGAATGGTAACCATCTATTAATTAATTACTCTGAAGACAGAAAATGACAGACCAGCAACATCCGAAGGACATCTGCACCTAGAGGCCTAAGTGGAAATAGGAAGCAACCATACTGTTATTTCTAACAGAGACTGAATCTTGCTTCCTGTGACTTTGCCCCTTGGGTAAGTATTCTCTCTAGGGTGACAGAGATCAGGCTTAGCCCCCTTAAATCATGGCCCTTATATGTGAGGACTAAGAGCATATGCTCCCAAATCCTTATCTCCCGGATTCTTTTGATTTTCCTGATAGGATTTGATTTTCATTTCTCACCAGTATGGAAGCAGCACTCTGAGAATCTTCAACCAATCACCATCTCTTAAATTGTGGGGTCCAAAATAGAGCCAACTCTTCACAGGTGGTCTAATCATCACCCTGTACCATTAGATGCTGCCTCCTGTGAGATCCCTATGTTAACAGCTATTTTACACTTTGCGTTCAGGTTGAAATTATTCTAAACGTATCTCAAGGACTATTTTAGATTTCTCAATATAAATTTTGCTTCCTTGCACACAGCACTTATTGAGTTAAAAACAAAACTAATATGACTTTAGATTTATTCTTTTAAAATTCTGTCCTGTTGGTTTTTTTAGGGTCATCAGAAATATGTCTGAATTCTGATTCTAGATTCTACAATTTAGAACTTTAAGTTATCTCTTGGACTTGATGAGCCCAATCACGGTTGCTATTTCCCTTTGAGACAGTAGGTTTGGGCTTCAATTCATGTGTGGTCAACTATTCATGCTCTAATACATGAACATTCACTACTCCTTCTTCTGAATAAATGAATGAACAAATGATCCAGGAAAGCAATTCATGCAAATTGTTTATTCACCACATTCCATCTAATTACACACCTCTACCTCATGTTAACATCTGTAGCCCACACAATGTATTTTCTGCCTGTCTGCAAATCTGCAAACAATGTGTATGTCTTCTGGAGTCTCAAAAAAAGTTTTGCTATTAACCAGATAAATGTTTTCTCTTGGTAATGAAATATTCTGGGAGAACCTGTGCTGATCTGAGTCTGCATAGCTGTCAATGGAAGACCTTAGTATAAAGAAGAAACAATTCAGGCTGAGATGAAAAAAGGGAAGTAAAACCTTTTAAAATGGCTTTGAGGTCTTATACTGTACACGGGACAAGAGTAATGTCAATGAAATAGTATCTCTGCTTCCTAGAAGAAATTTATCAATAGCACAAACATATTAGTTCAAACGACACTACTTAAAACCTAAATTCTAGGAAGGCAAAAGATAACATTAATTAAATGTTAAAATAATATAAGAGCTTGAGGCTAGGGTGAAGCTCAGTGGTAAAAGCTTGCCTAGCAGGCATGAGGCCGTGTTCAACCCCCAGGACTGCAAATAAAGAAATCACAATAATATAATAGCTTACACTCCTTTTGGATCATGATAATAATCATCTAAAATGGCATTTGCTTTGGGATATTAGTGCATTTTAGAATACATTAGAGTCCATTGTATATTCTATGTATAATACATATACCTTTTGTCTTAGTACTTGGAGCATAATTTTATTTTAAATAATCATGAGGTTTATTTATTTATATGATGTGGAACAGTTTGGTCAGAAAGGCACCAATGTCTATTGTATCAATGTAACCACTGGAAAATCTGTGATATGCTGTCCAAAAAAAGCCTGACAGACAGACCTCTCAGCTTTAAAATGAGGACATGAGCAGAGTTTCCAATCCCTGACAAAAAGAAACTATGAAAGGCTATGTAAAATTTAGCTATTTAAGTATATATACATAAATATCAGCAAGTCCTTTAGTAACAATTCAGGTTCAGCAGCTTAAAGGAACTGCTCTTGTTTGTGTCATCCTTTGGGTAATCGCTAATAGAAATAAGTGAGTTTGAGCTATTCAAGATGCTTTTCATCAGCTCTTATGAAGCTGCATGATGTTTTCAACACTCAAGGGCTGCTTTCTACAGTGTACACAGATTTACCTTAGAAACGAGGCTGGCCCTGTATGCAGCCAAGGCCTTCAGGTATTCTTTTTTGGCAGCTTCTGTTTTCCTCTTATATACCTATTAAAAGACCACAATTAGCACTACCTTCAGCCTATAAATTCTCATATAAAATAACCGCTGCACATAAACACAACTCACCTAGAGAGTTGGTCTCCTTGGCTTTGTTTTTTTCAAATGTTACACACAGGCACACAGATATTAAGACAAAACAAAACCCTGCCACCCACACCAGAGCACAATTTGGATGTTTACTCTTGCAAATGAGAAAAGATCTCAGATTGCTACAGATTCTTGAGAGTCACAGCTGAAGGGTTCAGGCTATAGCCTTATTTATAAAACAACAAGAATAAGCTCTGCTGTAAATGGCTTAAATTCTAGTAGGGATGCGTTTCTCCACTGATGTATTATTTCTCTCATATATATTTCTACACTGTACCAAATGGGAGGATTAAAAGCAGACCACAGTAAGTAGAGTGTGTGAAAACAAAGGAGAACTGATGGAAGCCTCTGGACCTCAGGCTTCTTTTGGAGAAGAACAGAGTCAGAAAATAATAAAAGATGGGAGATTTCATTAGTGGGACCAAGGAGTTAAAAAAAAAAAAATCCCAGTATATTAAACACAACCTGGGCGTCTTTTTTTTTAAAAAAAATTGTCTGATGGCTAAACAATAGACCAAAGTACAACTACCTTTTTCTCTGGAACATAAAAGTTCAGTGTAGCAATTTGCCAGTGCCTTACAATTCCATTTTGGGGACAGAAAATCAGGTAAGAAAAAAACTGTGGCAAACAAACACAGGAAAATTCAACAGCTGCACTATATACATAAAATAAACTAGCAGGATTGAGTTCATAACTGGTGAAGAAAAATAAAGGGTTCTACACTCTTCACACCTGAAATAATTATTATATGTTATCACTAGTAGGTGTCTATTCTTCCATGGATATGTAAAAGTTAACTCCTATTAATGGTAATTGGGCTTTCATGCAAGGAGCAAAGGGAGGACCAGCCCCTGAGGAACCCATTCTTCTCTCCATTTATGTGGAGGAGTTGTAAGGGGGAGAAGAGGAGATGAGGCCCCTAAGGAAGCATCTCCTACCAGCATGGCTAATCTCTGAATACCTATCACACTGCCTAGCTTTAAAATGAACTTGGAATAAAATTTCAAATGCCCAGTGACAATAATGAGACATGCAGAGGCAGCTTCAAAGTTTGGAAACCCACCAGGATAGCATAAGGGTTCAGAAAGATGATCAAGGGAAAAGCAAGCAGGATGGACCTAATCCCTTTGTAGGGCCCTTTTTGAACAAAGGGGGAAAATTCCACATTATTTAAAATGAAAAGATTATCATCAAAAATTTTATGCTTGCAGGCTACTGCCTGGATTTCTTCCCAAGCCTCCTGTGAATGGACTCTGAACATATACCCTTCAACTGACCGAGAAATCGATGTAACCACAGAGTTGTTTGGATTTATATGTGTGTATTAATGCCACAGCTTAGAAAGGCTTTTATAAGAAGCAATCATATTAAAGAAATGCATGCACTCAAAAGATGTAAGGAATACCTTTGTAACTTTTTAGTATACAGTCATGATAGACCTTTGCCTCACCTGCTTTTGCTCCTCACCAAGGCTGTCCCACATAGATGCTACGATTTTTGAGACCTCTCCAAAGGTTGCATTGGGGTTTTGACCTTTAATTGCAGCCTGTGTGTCTCTGAAAAACAGGGCATATGCTGATACAGGCTTCTGAGGCTCATTGGGATCTTTCTTTTTCTTTTTCTTTGGAGTCTTGGGCTTCTTGCCAGAATCTGGAGCCGCTCTTTTCTCTCCAATGGCCTGCAAAGCAGGAAGAAAATTCACTGCCTAGAATGTATTTGTGGGGAATGTAGCAAGACTTATTCAGACTCACAATTGTTCTTTGAAGGTTTTGTTAAGCATCATCAACAGATGAATCACCACCAAAAGCAGAGGAGGGGCAAATTTGCTTCAAGTTAACTGGACAGCAGAGATTAGCATTTAGAACATTGATTAATGAGACCCAGAAGTATCTTCAATGCATTCACAACATATGCTCTAAATAGCAATTATGAGTAATGAAAAACAGAACACTCAGTACCAGGCAATGCTATATATATGCTATGCTACACATGCACACATAAAATATCTTATGTTTTCAGAGGTTTCAGATATAAAACCTAATAATACTCAGGATGTTGACCATATTCACATATTTTAAATGAAGGCCTTTGCCATGGTTACATGCCATGTGTATGAGTGATCTGAACTGATTTTTTAATGCTGATTTTTTTTTCTGCCAGAATGTTATTTTGCTAATGAGACTCTGGAAACTAAAATAGAAATTAGCTATAATTGCTACACTTGCACAATAAAGGAAAGGTCATCTTTATTTTCTAAAATAACAACAACTTTCGGAAGGACAGGGTAACAAGAATGTAAAAATGTCAAAAATCACTTTAACTAGAATTAGAAAAGAAATTGATACTCCCATAAAATTAAAAACTTGTAAATGAGCAACAGCTGATACTTAAAATCAACCACACTGAAAAGACTAATCTTATGATTTATTACATTATTACACATGGGTAGTAACCCTGCTCACAAGAAAATGGCCATAGAGACCCACGTGTATCCACAATATGAACTCTGAAGTCACACAGAGCCATACCACAAACTGATATGGGTACAGATCCACAAATTTACCTACTATTAAGCCTTATAAACATCTACTATCATCATCTAACTCTACTGACCATATGACGTACTCCTAAGAGAAACAAAGGGAAATGACTTATCAACATTGCTAATTATCCTTAGATTTATAGTACAACTATGAAGGTAGTTTTGCAGTTAACTTCATCAAGAATCCTGAAGTGTTTGACAAAATCTGTTTTATAAGCCAATCTTGGGCAAGACCAACTGAGATAGATTCAAGTTACTAAGAGACTGGCTTTTAATGGCCATGAATCCTGATTCAAATATTTCTAGAGTATTATTACTTTCTGAAACGGGGGTCATTTGGAACTTAATTCAATTGCTTAAATTCTTAGGGAGGAAACTGGTAAAAAATTTTTCTCCAAGAGCTCTGAAGTGTCGTTATGTTAAGAAACCACAGGCCCACTCCTGGTTTTACACTGTCGGGGCGATAACACCATTCACGCTTGTTACAAGCTTCAGAAGGTTTTCAGGCACACCTTGCCTCTTCTCCAAAATGCCATCTTTTATAACTCATGCAATTCAGTAATTTTCTGGACTCTGTAGTCTTTTTTCTAAAAAATCTAAATTTTTTAAATTCTTAGAATAAGTGAGACTTGTGAATCTGAGCTAGCAAGAGAATCCGATACCTTTTAAGTTATGGTTTTAATTGGAGCCAAATTTTACTTCAATAAAAATATTATTTTAGCAACAATAAAAAATACACACCCATATTTTTCTAGTTGAATCAAACAACTATACTCTTTTCCTAACAGAAAAATGTGGCACTCTTGGCACCAACAATAAGTACCCTGACCAATGGCAATTTCCAGTTCAGCTTTTTCCAAATCAGAAGAGTTTAATTTCATTCTCTATAAAACAATATTCAAATGTTGACAACCTGTGATGTCTCACTTGGAAAAGTACGATTTGCCTTACTTTTTAAGAATAAACCAGAGAGCTGGGGAGTTAGCTCAGTGGTGCCGCTGCCTGCTTTGCAAGTGCAAGAACCCAAGTTGAATCCCCAGTAAAAAAAAAAAAAAAAA